CCCGGAATAATGACATTTCAAAAATTATTAACTTATCATCTGAACGCGAAATTTATACAAAAATTATACGCGAAAGTGCGCATTAAAAATGTTAATGTTTAAATGTTTACTGAGCCCTTCAGTTTTAATAGCAGAAACATGTGAGTCGAAATAACAGGCAATAATAGGAAATTACACCCATGGGCATGGAATAAAAACATAAGTGCGGTCAATTTGTAAGACTGACTGAATAATATTCATAACTGTTACAGCATAAGCTAGTATTGCTCCAAGCTATGCTACATGCCAAATATAATATGTGCTTAATGCCGCTTACACTTTACAGTAAATATCACAGTTGGGCAATATTGTTTATAATGTGCTATAATTCATAATTGCCATATTGGTTTGATGGGTAATCATGATTGCATTGTACTTTTTGACATAAACATGGATTACATGATTTTACAAATATATAAATCTTCTTTACGCACCTAGATCTAGTATTATGCATATAGGCTGTTTGTTAGACGTAAACTCATACAGTAAATCCTGGTTGATACTTGATACAAATAAACAATACAATAATCGACCTTATGACCGAACGACGACGGGCGAATGCAAATATATGCTAATACAGAACCACCCTCAAATATACAGTTAACATAGCAAATTATAGGACTATAGTTTATACGAACTTATAGGAGAATTGTTTATATGAACATCTACATGAATCTTTACCTTATCTCAGGTAAAGATTTCTCATGTTGACAAGCACACGAGGTAACGGAATTACCCAATATTACTCGACAAGACGACAACTGAAAGCTATTCGACTTATTCGCTATTTGTAGCGTGAACTTTCTAACAAAGATCTGTATTGGGCCTTGCAGGAACCTCAAATCATTGCGATGAAATGCCATTTTGTAAAATAAAAATACGAATTCGTATAAATGGCGAGATCGAGCAGTAGTATCCAACAGATTTTTAAAAATATCCGCTGTCAAACATCCAGAAATTTTTCAATATTCCTTATTTACTTGAGAAGGATATATTTTTTCCTTTAATTCAAATAAAGCAAACCAATAAGAAATCAATATTTTTCTTTCACCAGCCAATGGGAAAGCTTAAATTTGGCGAATGAGTCAGACCCCCGCAAAGATAAGGCAAGCCAATGAAGAACCAGTATTAGCCCTCCACCAGCCAATCGGAAACGCTTAAATTGCGCAGATGAGTCAGACCCCCGCAAAGATGAGTCAAACTTATTCTAAGCCAATCAAATGCCTAGAATCAGAAGTCGATGAGGCAAAATTCAAGCAAGTATCCGCTATTATGACTCATTTGCTGAGGGTTCAAAAGTCAGTGACCAGCAACTGCATGAAGCTTAATAATTTTTAACTGGACTGTTAATTTATCGAATGACTATTTTCGCTGACTGAAGTTTAAATATTTCGACCTGGACTTGTGTATTTTTTGACTTAGTCGCGTGACTCATCTGACAAACCCTAGATCTGCCCCTTGTATTGCTGTATACACGGTATATACTACATATGTATGAACTTTGAATGTAATTATTCCAGCCCTTCCGTCTAGATGCACCTAGAAGACCTCAGATGTGCGATGGCGTTACTCCCGTTAGATTGAATCTAATATTTATCTTAAATCTATCTTGGCACAAAGAGCCAAGTCATAACGTATGCGAAAAATGATTTACTG